CGTACCCGACCGACAGGCCCTCTAGTGTCCCGGTGCATCATCCAAAATCCCTGGTCCGTAAAACACACCGGCCATGCAGTCTAGATCGCCGCCCACAAACTGAAGCACCCTGGCCAACCTTGAGCAGAAGACCTACGTAAACTCCGTCGCAAGTGGCGGGAGAGGGTGCTGGAGGCGAGGCCAGGCGGTGCCTGGAAGCCAAGGTACTCTGGCGGATTTGATTTCGCGAGTTTCTGCTGGGTTGCCAAGGTTGTGGATGGGTGTGCCGAGTATGGCTGGGCTGTATGGGGTCCTGTGCTGCTGACAGCCAATTATGCTTACAAACCTATGAGCTGCCATGCGACATCGGACCTCGCTGAAGACCAAGGATCCCGAACCGAATCCGCTCCTATGCAGGGTTCTGCAACTTGGGTTCCTGCTCGAGGCCTTTTATAAGCTTGGCATGCTGCTAGGGGTTTCTGAAAAGTGAGGACTCTCCTATTTTGCCAAAACTAGTCGAGATTCCCCAAAAAGTCATCCAAGTACAGAGCCTGACCTCAGATGCCTTGTATAATCAGTCCCGTCCAGTCTTGTTGCCGAAGTTTCAGCCTCTTGCCTTCGACACGATTGTACTGGGGTCGCAAGATCAAAAAATAAGGATTTATTGACCAGGCGGTTACCCTGTGTATACCCGGAGGCCAAGATACCCCGAGCCGCAAACCTTGAACATCCTTGAACATGCTTGAAGCTTAACCTGAAAACATAAAACTTGCAATGGCGGCAAAGTAAATCCTCAGCAAAAACCACCCCGACACGAACACCCAACAACTCCTCATACCGCAAGCTCGGAACCTAGGCATCTTTTTTCCTTAGATGGCGCGCCCGGGAGCTCCTCTGGCATGCAGACTATGGAAAAGCGGTCCTCTCAAATTCAGCGGCAGAGGCCCGAGGACGGATGTTCGAAGCAGTGGTTGGTAGAAAGTTCCTGGTGTTGCTCGAGCCACCAGTTACGGTTTACAATTTAGAAGTCTCTCTCGCTTACTGGCTTACTGGTTCCTCTGAGTGATCAAGTTGGGTTCCCGTCTGTGCACGAGAAGAATAAGAAGGCCTTCCCCACCAGCGTGCCGCAGCTCCAAACCGAAAGCCGTCACAAAGCAGCACCAACCCAACAGACAGCAAGTTTCAGTTTTGACTCCTTGTTACCAGGAGCAGCTTCATGTCGCCCCATGGCGCGTGAAGTCACGACGCAGCTTTGTCACGCGAGAAAGCATGAAGCCACACCACAAAGCATAGTTGCAAGTCGCTTTCCCCATGTGCATTCCTGTTCTATGCGGACATCTAAAGTTAGGATTTTTATATCAAGGCGCCGTGTTTGTTGTTAGGAGACTGTGTCCCAAAGCCTTCAAAACTCTGCGAGTTTAGCAATCAAACACCATGTACACACACTTTCGACATGTACAAGCAGCAATCGCGTAAGTTGGGAATGTCCATGATTTCAGTGTTGATATCAGTGGCATCACAGCACATCGAAACCAGCCATTCCCCAACCACCGAACTGCTTAGCCCCCGGTGTAGACTCTGGAAGAATTGAGGTTTGGATGCCTCTCAGGTTCGACTCCGAAGTGCTTAACCCGATGTGCACGCGCACAGACACAACATCAAGTGACTTGAGATAAGTCCATGCTCATTACCACATGCTCGGAATGGCTTCCCGCCGGTGTGCACGCTCCGAGGGACTACTTTACGAAATGGCGACGTTGGTTCGAAGGCACCTTGACCTGATGCTTTTAGTACTAAGCCTATGCAAGACATGGCAAGTGGGCAGCTGCGTTACTGAACTGCAAAACGGCCACTGGCTACTCGCTAAGTTCGACGTCCGGTAAAGCAGCAAGTAGCAGCAGTGGCACTAAAGCGAATTTACATCCTGGAACCCTCACCCCGCTGCAGCCTTTCCCACTTCGATGTAATAGGGTGGAATTAACTTGAACGTGTCAGCGAGAAATTTAAGCTGTGGGAATCGGGATTCAGTTTTGAGGCCAGGGTTGGCTGTCAGGGCCAGGGGTTCTCGTTTAGAGAAACGATAGTCGAGTATTGTCTGCACCGAAAGGCTGCGTGATTGTTTACATGAGGTCCACTGCTAGTGGTGAGGAGGTTCCCCGGAAGCCGCGGCACGGGGCTTCATGGAATGGCTTTCAGATGAGTGAGGTCTTCGGCCTCATTTAGCGGGAGGATACGCAGGGCGGCTGAGAAACGTGTGGAATCTGGGCAGAATGGGCGCTGTCGGGGGTTTAGTGGGATGTGACTGGTCATGAGTCATGTGATTCTGGAAAGCCAACCCCGGTCAACCAACACATGATGCTAGCTGGGCAGGTCTGGCGGGGTGGCAGTTTGGGGTCTGGAGTTCCGGGTTTCGGGCTTGAGGTTGCGCATGTCGCAAAAAAATTTAGGGCCGCATGCTTCAACCTTTGAATTGCTCTGCAAGCTCTAGGGTCTCAAGCCATTCATGGCGTGATGGCTTTGCCACTCACAGCTCTCCATTACGAGGCAAGCCTGCGTCCTGTCGCATTCTGCTGGAGATGACCACATCATGGGATGACCCGAAATGATACTAAGTATGGGGTCTCAACCACACGCAAATCTTCATATGCATAAATGAACCCCAAGTCTAGTCTCGAACACGGGTTTTCTCAAGCTCCATGCAAAACTCTACTGTTACCTAAAAGCTGCTTGTCGGACCATGGAAAGCTGTTCAGCTCCTCCATGTATTAGATATTTGACATATACATACATTTGACAGACATTGGACAAAGACAGATATTGCAATAACATCTACAAACATTGACAAAGTATATTCAGTGTAACAGCCAATGACAGACAAAGGCACATCTTTTTCATTCTGAGATCTGCGATATCCAGGCCGGCACAGATGCAGGCAGGATCGCTGCCGAGAGCTCGCGGAGCGGCTCGAGCGGCTCTCCGAGCCGCTCCGCAACCTCTCGGCATCTCTCGGCAGTCCTGTCGAAAACAGCCACAAGCACCCCAGACCCACGATCACCACGTAGGACGGGACGGTCGTCGGTCTGGGTTGCTGGATCACCTCGGCTTGCACATGCACCTTGTTTTTCTCCGAAAAAAGGTTCATGGTGCAAGACGAGGTGACACCTCGTCATGCACATGAACCTTGTACCGTTGATTGAATCAGACCAGGTCGATCACCTCTGGGACAGAACGTCGTGTCAGGCAGGTGGCTGCAGGAAAATACCGGGAGCAGTACGATTCGCACTGCCCTTGTACTTCCCTGAAACCATCATGGCAGTCGAGACCATGGTTGCCTTGTCACACTCCAGGAGTGACTTGTGCATTGTAAATCTCCTAACTATTCTAAGGCACACGGTCAATGCGATGTGCCACAAGTACACCGCACTTACCGCGCGCCTCGACTCCACTCGGCCACAGGCAACGAAGTACAGTGCGTCGGTGGTGGGACCACGGACATCTTGTGAGGGTGAGGGGTGCCCGCTGGCTTACGGTTTCCGGGTCAAGGTGAGAGCTTTCTTGTTAGTCAGGGAATATAATATGGTTTAGCTCGAAAGGCTAATTTCTTACAGGAGCCTGATAGACTATAGGGGGCGCGCACGAAGTTACCAAAACAGCAGCCACAAACTCATCAAGCAACGAACCCATTTCCTTGACCGAAAAGACAAGTAAAACAAGTCAAACCGACATTCATACAGACATACTTACCTAATTTACTAGCTATGTACAGTCAATATACTATAGCTAACAAACAGGCCAGCTCCTTCGCTCCTACCGAAGCAAAGGCTAGTTACTCTTCTCCCATCGAACACAGGCGAAACACGCAGAAACCTCGGTCAGCCTGACGATCTTAACCACCGATATTGAAACTCAAGCTGGCCCTAGCAGCTCATTTCATCTCAACAGTTACGGTCTCTGGCAAAACGGTTACAGTTACAGGCTCTGGGAAGACTGTTGGTTGACGCGCTCTGTCCAAGCCGAATGGGCCATCAGGTTTAAAGCTTGAGTTTGGTTCATTCGTATTGGTGCACTTCGAGTACGGTGCAGATGGCCCATAACTTTTGTGTGGTGGGTCAGGGTTCAATTTCTTCGGAGTCCTCGCTCTTGGCTTTTGGGCTTGGGCTCTGGGTCTGCCGAGCTTGAACACTCGCTAAAGAATTCCTTGGAACCGGGTATCATGGTTTCCAGTCAGAGAGATGCCAGTCATCCTAAACCCAATCCGACTCAGGATGTGATCCAGCTCAAGCTCTAAAGGCTTCCCTGTTCACCGACGCTTCCACCGGGACTCGGATCTCGTGCCCGGGACGAGGCATGCCCCCCATGTGAAACTCATGCGTGCTACCAACTATGACAAAGCCATGAACCCTGCGTCTCTGTCTTTTTTGAAGACAAACGCCCCAACTGAAACAGCCTCATGCGAAATCTTGGCATCTGAGATGTCGAAGGCAGCCGGCCTGGCAGGGCTTAGGCTTCGGAAACTCTCGGACTAGCCGAGTGCAAAGATTGGTGGGAGGGGGGGGGGTACAGACAGCTTGAGATCGAGGAGGGATGTCATTCTTCATGGACACAAAGCTCAGCCATCTGCTTGCACCGCTGCAGTACCAGGCGAGAGCAACAGTTCGAATGCAATAGGCAACATATCAGGCTGTGTAAGCACGTGTGAGATGATTCCGCTTCATTTCGCGTAACTAGCGCTGTTCATTCATTCCTTCAGGAAGGAAGCAAAGGTCGTAACCCTCGACCGAAGCAGCATTCGCAGATTTCTTCGACGCAGACTGTAGATGATTGTAGATGTGTCGGCCGTGCACCCACACTTAGTGTGCACTCACTTGGTGAGCGGCGAGGGCGCAGGGCCAAATCATCCTGGGCAAAAGAGGCAAAGAAGGCTACTCCCAAAAATTGGGATCGTCCGTTGCATCCGCGTGGTGTTTGTGCCGGAAAGGAAAAGCACTTCGAAATTCCCGGTACGGGATGCTCATGCCGAATCAAGCCCATCTGAAGGCGATCAGGGAGGTTGCCATCACAGCCATGCCGGCAAAGAAGGAGTACGATGTGTAAGAATTGTTCGGATCGTACTTCAGGGCGGTCGGCAGCAGCTTCTTGAAGGAGATGTGGAGCATGATGCCCGCCGTGAGACCGTAGAAGATAGCGTAGGTCGCGGGCCCGAGCACGTCCTTGAGGACCAGCCATCCCAGCAGCCCACCCAGGGGCTCGGAGAGGCCGGACACGAAGGCCCAAAAAAATGCTTTGCACTTGGAGCCGGTAGCCTTTTTGATGGGCGCTGCCACAGCCAAGCCTTCGGGGATGTTGTGCATGGCGATGGCGAATGCCATGGCGGGCCCAAAGCTGGGATCGGCCATGGTCGAAATGAAGGTTGCGATGCCTTCGGGGAAATTGTGCAAGGCGACAGCAATCCCTGAGAATGCGGCCATCTGCAGCATATTCAACCGCTCAGAGGTGCTGAGGGGTTTGTCGGTAGCGGCATCCTGGGCTTCCGGCTCCGGCGCGTCAGTGATCACAACGTCAATCTCGCGCACATGCCTGTGAAAGATCTTCATGCCGATCCACTCCACCAACATAGCGAGAACTATCCCTCCGAAGACCGTCAATGTCCCGAACGTGAAAGCACTCCGCTCAGTGAGGTTTGCATCCTGGAAGCTCTGATTTGTCATGTCCAGGATCTCTGAGAAGGACACATACGCCATCACCCCAGCAGCCAAGCCCAGGCAAATCGCAAACACGCGGTTGTCGTCAGTATTGGCACAGAACGCAATTGCTGCGCCGATCGTGGTGGCTAGGCCCGCGAGAAGCGTCAGGAGCATGGCGAAGCCGGCATCACCCTCGGAGATGTCCACACCCTCCATGTCGTGGGAATGCCCTGCGTGGAGCATCCGGCCGTCGTGGTGATGAGCGAAGTCCATGATGCACGAGACGGGTGCGAAGGAAGCAGTGCCTGCCGAGTGCGAAGCCACCTTGAGACAAAACTCTTGAGGGCAAAGATGGGGGGTTACCAAGAGAGGTGTCATTCTTCATGGACACAAAGCTCAGCCATGTGCCTGTACCACTGCAGTACTTGTTGGAACCTCACCTTACCAGGCGAGCTTGGACAGGTTTGCATCGAGCAACAACTCGTTTGCAAGAGGCAAAACAAGTGCAAGGATTTCAATGACTAGCTCAGTACACATGAACAATAAACGCTCTAGCTACTGCAGATGTGCCGGGCCGTGTCCACACTTAGTCTGTGCTCACCGACTCTTCCACCGGGACTCGGATGTCGTGCCCGGAACCAGGCATCCACCATGCTACAACTATGACAAAGCCATGAACCCTGCGTCTCTGTCTTTTTTGAAGACAAACGCCCGAACTGAAACAGCCTCATGCGAAATCTTGACATCTGAGACGTCGAAGGCAGCCGGCCTGGCAGGGCTTAGGCTTCGGAAACTCTCGGACTAGCCGAGTGCAAAGATTGGTGGGAGGGGGGGGGGTACAGACAGCTTGAGATCGAGTGAGGCCGCAAGAGCCAACATCAGAGTAGTTAGTCATGGCCCAAGTTTCAGATGTCTGGCAGCCTCAAGCTCCAACCCTGCCCAGATTTCCCAATGCCTGCTGGACCAGGCTGAACAAGGGTTCAGTGGTTTCGGGCGGCTGCTTGAAAGTCCCGCGCGGGCACAGCGTCGAAGGATCCTCCAGGCCTTGGTGGCAGCTGACATTTTTGCCGGCATCAGCGTTTCACTCGCCGATGCCGAGGGAGTCTAGATTGAGTTGTCTTCAAAGGCTTTCCATTGTCTTGCATACGAGAAGGCTGAAAATTACAAGTCCTAAGACCGATACAAGGCTTAAACCCCACATGTTTGACACTGCAGGGACCAGTGGGCGATCCCGGCTGCTGTCGATTCGGGCAATTTACCCTGCTTTCGGATAGCACAACCGCGGCTACATGTTGCACTGGTAGTGTCCTGACAGCTACATCGGTTGAGTTTGTGTACACGTGTCTGTGTGCGTGTGTGTGTGTGTGTCTGTCTGTGTCTGTCTCTGTGTGTGTATTATATATATATAATATATGTACGTATGTGTTTGTTTTTGTCTGTGTCTATGTGTGCAGGTGCACATGTATGTATGAATGCATTTGGCTATGTGCACAACTATGTGCATGCATGTGTCCATGTCCGCGTACTATGCATGTATGTAAATGTATGTATGTAGATAAGCAAGTCGGTATGTTCATATGGGCATGGATGTATGCAAATACATATGTATATGTATGTATGTATGTATGTATGTATGTATGTATGTAAGCATGTATGTATGTACGTATGTATGTATGTATGTATGTATGTGCGCTATATGTATCTCTGCGTGTATATGTGTAAGTGTGGGTGTGTGTGTGTGTGTCTGTGTGTGCATGTGTGTTTGTGCATGTGTGTACTTGCACATGCATTTGTATAAGTGCATGTCCTTATGTATTTACGTAGTGTATATACGTACCTGCTGAATACTGTAGAGATCATGACAGGGCGCCATAGGGGTGCTTCCTTTCCTCCCGGAAGGGTTGGTAGAGGGCCGGCAGCATGCTCTTATCGATAGAGACCTGGCTGCAGGGTGTGGAGAAATAAGTTATCATCGGTCTTGTCGAGACTCCCAAACGCCTGAACCTGGGGAACGTACTTTATGTGTACAGCGCCTCCGGCTGTAGAGACATCTGGAGGTTCGGGCGCTTTGTGCCATTGGGGTGTTGGGTTTATTTAATAAATTTGAGCCTCACGCCTGTCACGGATTTCAGCATAGCACAGGGCTAAGTCGCCTAGGGCAGGAAGGAGACCTTCTCCAAAACCGAGCTTGTAAACAAAGCCAACAAAAGCCACTAACCCGAACATAAGCCCTCACAGGCGTGCAAGTTTCGTAGTCAGTCTGAGATCGCTGTGAGGACGCTGGACTCTGGACACTTGGGTTGAATGTGTTGCCGTCTTTCAGCCACCTAAAGCTCGTATCGAAGCCCTATAGGCCCTATATTCACACCATGCCAAGCCAACAACTCTCACAAAAAGAACGACGTCAATCCCGCAAACTGGATCGTGTTGTACCGAAAGATACCGTCAACGAGCCTGCCGTTGCGAGATGACTGGAAGTAGATCTGGGCGGACACCCGTGAAAGGAGCTGTCCGCCTGGGTGAAGACTTCGAATGAAGGTTGGGAGTTCAGACAATAACTTATATACAATAACTTATGGGGACCATAAACAATCTTACGAATGATTCATAAGCAGTGTCCAGGGATTCAGGGTGAGATGAATTATAGCTTCTGGCGGGTTTGGTTTCGTTGCCCAAGCAGCCAGAAGCAGTGTGGCGACAGGATGGGCTAGTAGCTGCACGGTTTAGGCCCTGCTGCGAACGCAGCACGGGGACATGGAGCTCTTTAGTTTGTAGAGCTCCGCAACCCCAGTGACACGCACATTTTCAGGTGTAAGCCGTGCTCCAGCCAATCCCGCTGGGATGTTGACTTTTGACACTCGCGTGGTATTGGAGTTTCTGGGCGGCGACGGCAAATCGCTCCAAGTCTGTCCAGTTCTATTCGGCTTGGAGTGGTCTCAGGATGTGGCTGCTAAGATACTGAGTTACAGTCTTCGGGGCTGCAGTGTCGCAGGAATGTGAGTTTACCAACGCCTATGCAAGGATTTTGTAGTCTCTTCGGCACTGGCTATAGTGGCGCTACAGTCCTACGGAGCAACCACAAAGCTCGGAATAAGAAGATGCAGCACTCCGGCCCCCAATCATAATCTCAATTTGCCGGACGGATACTACGACCTAAACTCCCAGCTGAAACCTAAAAAAAAAACTAGAACGACCCACACCCACACCCACCTACACAGCCACACACACCTACACAGCCACACACACCTACGCAGCCACACACACACACACACAGAGACAGAGACAGAGACAGAGACACAGAGACAGACACAGAGAC